TCAAACTTTTTTACTTCACATAACTTTTTTTAAAAAATTTATATATAGCCTATTAGGTGTAAAACAAAATGGGTCCTCCACAAATGTGGGGCCTAAAGCAGTTGTTTTATCTGCTTTATGGACGGCTCCAGTTTCTAATTTGAAACAATCACATCGCATCTAAGTAACATTTGGTATAATAATCTAGGACTCAATAGTTTTCAAGAAATTTGAAATATCATGAGCCTTTAACTCTTACCACAATTAGTATAAAGTAATAGTACATGCTTGAGAACTACTCAGTCTTGTGACAAAAGAAAATTGTCTATAATGCAAGGGCTGTTGATGAAGCAGAAAATTCCCTAAGCAGGAATTATTTATGAACAAAAAAACACATATTAATTGTTTTTCTTTCCTACTGTTTATTTTATAATATGTTATTTTACTCCCTCTGTACTATTGAACCTCCACATTTAACTTGGTACATATATGAAAATGGCCCTGAGTGTATTGCTAAAATGAAAAAGATTTCATAAAAATAAGGAGAGAACCCCGTATACAAGCAGTATACCAAAAAAAAAAGGAGAAAATACACCAAACTAGTGCTTCGCCCTTAATGGTTCAGGCACAAGGGTCTGGAAATGGATATCTGAAAGTTCTTACCTGTAATCCGATTTCACAATCAAGCATTATCACCTTGAAAGCAAATAAAACGTGTCAAGTTTAGGGAGGTCCCGAGGTATTTTGCCTTTAGAAAACTGTTAAGATAGCAGATGCTCGTGCAGGTAAAGCAGTTCTGTCTAACTGACCATAGGAAACTTTGAGCATCGATATACATTACTTTTTAGGGCATCAAATCTATATATGTTGTTATTGTCATTCACTTTGATAGGAAAAGCATGTGGAAGGTCAAGATCTGACTTGAGTATTCTAGAATTTAAACTTGTTGACACATGGCCCAGCACAAGCAGAGACAATATGGAGAATTAATCGACAAAACAAAAAGTATGAGAAGAAAAAAGCTAATAGAAGGAGATAATGACATAAAAAGAGATCACAATTTCACTACCAACTAGAAAAAAGAACACAAGTCATGAGGTATATCTGCTCCCCTGAATATTAGAATGTGACCTTTGTTTCTTACAAGAGGAGGAACTGGCTTCATTGGTCCTAGAGTCATGGTGTTCACCATTGTCATATCTACTCCTCCTTATCCCAATGCAATGTTCATCTTTATACAACAAACGAAATCCAAACTCCTTCATTTGTCCAGAAAAAGATAACCTAATAAGCCGAAAGTCATTTGGTGTTTTTCCATTTGCCTTAGATGTATCCCATAAGTTAGCAAGAGGTACCAAGGAAAAATGAATAGTAGATTCTCTATCAAATTGTGGACGGTTGCATAAGGCAAGTTTCTGAGATATCCACGACACTCCATCATCACATACGGGAAACAATTGAGCTGTGGTTTCAATCAAGGTGCCAGAGTAACATACAGCAAATCCCAAGAAGTTATCACGTACATACCAATTTTCAGGCAAATTGACTGATACACTTCTATCCATTCCTTGATAGTGGAACCAACTTGGGATCTTTTTCCGAGGATGCACAATGGTAAAAACTCTTTTGGACAAGGAATCTGAAGCAGAGACGTCATGCTGCAAGGAAGCGATATTCTGAAATAGGGTATGTGCAAACAAATTATAGATCGAATCATTGTAAGCATCATCCTGATCATACAGTGGTGTGAATATCAACTGCTGTAATTTCTTCTTCTTTCTTACTAAATTATGAATACTTTTCAGAGCCATATGACAATCTGCATGCAATGCATCTAATTCTGGGAGCAGCGTAAGACAATTGCACTCTGTTAAGTCCAAGGATCGAAGAGCACCAAGTTGGGCTATGCTTCGAGGCAAATGCTCAAAATTATTTCCTCTGAGATACAAGTTGGGTAGATTAAATTGGGGTAGGTCTTTTAATAAGGAGATGCCACGTGGCACTCCAAAAAAAAAAAATAGGGGCAAATCTAACCCATAGTATAACGGTAGGATCCCAAATGACCCAATAGTGAGACGGAGGGTAAGTTTAAACAATTTTCGACATTAGAGGAATATATTTGACCCTTTTCCGTTGTTTTAATAAGTATTTCTTCCGTCCCACGCTAAATACAACCTAGGATGAGATTCATATCTTACTAGGAAAATGCTTGAATGAATTTTTTAAATGAGCTTCTCATCAGTTAAAACGATGATTGGGAAGATTTGGGAAAGAAAGACATAAAGGTCTTATAGTAACAATCTAGAACAGCCCAAAATAATATAAAATACATTAATTTGAGCTCTTGGAATTAATTTCAAAAAATTCATTTAAGGACATGCATCATAATTCTAGGACAAGCCAAAATAGAAAGTATGTCAAATTAAACAGGGTGAACGCAATAATATTTGCTTAATATCACTATATTAAAGGACAACGATAATTATAGAGAAAAATAAAAATAAAATAGAATTAAGCTAATGTACCTTTGTTCCCGTCCATAAATGACGCAGTGAACTATATGAGATTTCAAGATGAACAAGCCTTTTGGGTTCAAAATTTTCTGGCAATGACTCTCAAGGATAGTAATTCCAGAGAAACCAACGCAAGTTGTTGGGCAGGTAGTCAATGGAGCCATCATGGGCGCACGATATCTCGATGTTTAATATCCTCAGCCGTTTCATATTTTCCATGGACCTTTTGTTAAAGCATAGTTTTGGACAATAATAAACCCAGATTGTTTCAACGGAAAAGGGTCATCAATGCCCCTAACGTATTGAAAATGGCTCAAAAATGTCCTCAGTTAACATTTGGGACGAGAAATACCCTCAACGTTTTTTTTTGGGCTCAAATCTGCCCATGAGAATTAACAGACCAGTCATGGTCAAATTTACACTTTAAATTTTCACGTGGCACATTATAAGTGTGCCACGTATATTAAACAATAAACAAAATTAAAATCCTTCTTTAAAAAGATACCCGACCCGACCTGCTGACCCATAATACATATAGCCCATTTAACTAAAACCTAAAAACGAGCGGTAAGTCAGGTTAAACACACACCCCCATTCCTTCTTCCTCATTTAGGTAAATTGTCTTCTTCCTCTTCTTTCTTCCAATTTACTTTATCATAATCTCCCGTTATCTTTGTATAAAAATTTGTTCTTTTGTGATAGAATGTCCAAATTTTTTGTTTCCTCTCAAAGCTCAACCAATTGAGTAGATGTAATTGCGGACAAGTTATGAGTCATTTTACGGCCAATACTCCTATTAATTTATGGAGTAAGTAATATTTTTGCCGAGAAAGCAATTATCTGCTATTGATTAAGAACTTATCTGCTATTGTCATAGCCTGAAGCTTAGTTAGTGCCATTACCCGAAGCAAACTGTTGAAATACAAAGAAACAACTGAATAATACTAAAATGCTTACTACCAAACTGCTGAAATATATATAATAAAATTGAAAAATACTAAACTGCTGAAAATCACCATAAAAGCGTCATCGCCATAACATCAAGTTCACCACAAAAGCAAAGTCATTGCCGTAACTGATTCGACACAAATATATTTTTGTTTAGAATCAGTAAAATTATTGGCGTAACTAATTCATCACAAAAACAACAAAAGATAATCAATTTACATGTCTATAAGTCTATTGATATTAAACAACATCATCGTAACAAATAATTTAACTTCTAATTGTCCTAAAGCATGGCCCTTTTAGCTTTCAGTTTTGTAATTCTTCTTTCCTTTTCTTCTATAAATTGGTTTGAGGTCATTGCTGCTTTTCCTTCCCAAGTGATCTTTCTTGGGGAATATGGCTGATCAGTAGGTAAATATACACCATTTTCATCTCCCATGAAATTGATCTTCCTGGTACTAGTAGGATTTTGCAGCGGTTTCCTTTGTTTAAGCCTAGTGTTAGCTTCAGAAGAGAGGAATGTTTTGATGAAGAATAGTCGCTTGTTTTAGATTTTAGTTAAATGGGTTATATGTATTATGGGTTAACGGGCCAGGTCGGATATCTTTTTAAAGAAGGATTTTAGTTTTGTTTATTGTTTAATACACGTGGCACACTTATAACGTGCCACGTGAAAATTAAGTGTAAATTTGACCATGACTGGTCTGTTAAATCTCAGGGCAGATTTGAGCCCAAAAAAAATGTTGAGGTTATTTCTGGTCCTAAAGGTTAACCGAGAGCATTTTTGAGCAATTTTCAATACGTTATGGATATTGATAGCCGTTTCCGTTGTTTCAATTGCATTGGTCCCCCGGTAGAAAGATCATTAGTCTACAAACTATAACTTCAAATGTCTGTATAAAATCTGCATGTCAATGTGACTACTTTCTCACTCCTTGCAACGCCAAACTGCGGACATATTTTGTACTATCTATTGTTGCACTTGAAGAGCTAGCACCACTAAAAAAAAATAATTAAGGTTCAATATTAGCCTAGGTCTTTTTTTAAGAAATATGTTGCTTAAGAGAAACACTTTGTAAAATTAATTCTATAATTATATTTTCTAATAATCTATTTTTTGAGAAGTTCTTAAAGTCAAGTCTAAAGTTTTTTCATGTAGTAATAGAACGACTTTTTGATTGAAACGGTACCAAGAAATTGTAATTTTCTTAAATATAAAATATAATCCGTGGTAAATAAATTCCTAATTGAGTTATTATGTACAAAATGTTATACAAATTTCAAGAAACTGGACTAGAGAGATTAAGTGGCTACTAGGCTAATTCATGGCATAATAACATAAGAAAAATGATTTAGGCAGCATTAATTAAAATGGATACTTGACGAAATAGGCAATGTTAGGCAACTAATTTTACTTTTGCTTCTCCTACTAAAGTAAACAACTAAAATGACTTGCATGTGAGAATATGAAGTAAGAGGAACAAATAAATGGATTGGAATATGAAAACTAGGAATTGAATATTATTGCATTATTTGGCCTACTTACCGTATTGTTGATCATTACTTCTTCGAAATCTTCGGCGAGCCACATAGTCTGTTACGTTCTTCCGGATCCTTTTGCACGTTTACTATAAATTTACCCATATCTTGTATTAAGTCATGCATTTGAATCCTATAATATACAGAGATGAAAACAAGAGATTTGTCAATTAGGACATCCAAGTCGATATCACCTCCAAAATCACAGCTCTCAAGTATTTGCATGATGTAATCTTTTCTTTTCCCACGTAAGAAGCATGCTATATCTAGAAATATTTCTTGTTGTATGGGCTCCAACCCATCATAACTAATTTTGAGCTTGTCAATAATTTTTGAATTACAGTTATTTTTCATTTGCTTTACAACACTTTTCCACTCAATTATATCCCTCTTATATAAGAAAGAACCCCACACTTTCAGGGCTAAAGGAAGACCATTAGCATAACTTACTACCTCCAAAGTTAGCTTCTCAAAACACTCATCTGGAACTTCTTCTTTGAAGGCATATTGATTGAACAATTGAATAGCATCATGTTCAAGTAGTGTAGTCACTTCATATACTATATCATTCTTCCCTGTCACATGTTTGTCTCTAATTGTTGCAATAATTCTACTGCCATTGCCAAACCAACCAGGATCCCCAGCTAGGTAATCCAAATGATCTATGACGTCAAGCACAATTAATACCTTTTTAAAACGAAGTCTACGAGCCATCAACTGCTTTCCATCCTCATTATTAACGCAATTAGCGTTTTCTCTTAACAGTTCAGAGAGAAGGATATTTTGCAAAGAGTGCATTCCACATTTGTTCTCTTTGACATCCGCAAGGAAACAAGCAACTTCAAATTGATATGAGAGTATCAAAAATGACTCTTGCTATTGTCGTTTTACCGACTCCCCCCATGCCCCCAGATTCCCACAATCCGAGCATCATTGATTTTTATGTCTAATAGGGATTTTACTTTTTTAAATGAGTATTTATTCCCATTACATCTCGCAAATAAGAATTACTCTTGCATAATTTGGGCGAAATTTGGCCAACAATCTGTGATTCAATCCTACATAAATAAGAACGCATAAGACAGTCAAGTATTATAAGTATTTGATACTGTTATGAGCAATATGTGATGAAAATAGTCCTGAAAACAGTGATAAGGAATCATCAACTGATGAAGACTTATGAGTCCTTCAAGAAGAAAATTATATTTCTATCTTCTGAAGATGAGCAAAGACCCTGTGATGAGGGACAGTGCTCGAAACAGTGTTGTAATACAGATGATGATATTTATAATCTTTATTCCCAGTTTAAAGACATGAATGTCAATGTCTTGACCAATGACAATATTCTAGAACTGTTAAGGGTGATTAAGGACCCTGAATTAAGATCCCAGATCTTAGATAAGATACCAGATAAGATACCTACAAATACAGAAATAGGTACAGAGATTGAAGATATTCCGTCTCAAAAGAGAACTTATATTATGTCAAAAAAATGATTATAGAAAAATCACAGTCTGATAGGCTGACTACTGTCCAAGATTTAGGTATCGAGATTAATAATTTCAAAAAAGAAGTTTCAGAGTTAAAGACTTCTAATGTAGCCTTAGACAAAAGAATTTTTATATTAGAAAATTCTGACACTGAGAAAGGATTCATTATTGATATTACTGAAAAAGGAAACGATATAAGTACGTCACCAGGTGCTAAGAAGAGTAAATTCTTAGGAGCTATTGATTTTTGCAGAAGATGAATTTTTGCAAAAACTCCAGTATTTTACTACCCAATTTCTTTTTTTAAAAATAAAAATCACTCTTTTAATCGATTACAATTTAAAAAGAGAATTTACTGTTTTATTTGACAGCGATGCAGACTTAAGTTGTATAAAAGAAGGAGTAATACCTTCAAGATATTTTTATAAGACCACTCATAGATTAAAAAATGCTAGTGGGAGTCAAATGGGTATTTCTTATAAATTACCTAGAGCATATATTTACCAAAACAATGTTTCTATACCTGAAAGTTTTGTTTTGGTAAAAGATATATCGCAAGATGTAATATTAGGGGTTACTTTCTTTCATAAAATAATACCTCTTACTAATTGGGATACTAAGAGTTTTTCAGGAACTTTTAATAATAAGAAAATTACTTTTGAGTTTATAACTCAGCCAATTCAAAGTTTTTTGAATGAAATAATTTTTAATAATATTTATGTAAAATTTAAGCAAATTGATTTTTTGAAAAATGAAATTTGTTCTCTTACTATTGAACAAGATTTAAAAAATCCTAAACTAATTAATAAAATTGATTTATTGAAAAAATAGTTTTCTTTACAAATATTTGGAGATCATCCAAACCAGTTTTGGAATAGAAAGAAACATATTGTAAGTCTTCCTTATGAAGAAGACTTCTCAGAGGATAATATTCCTACCAAGGCTAGACCTTGTCAGATGAATTCTGAATATCTAAAGTTATGCAAAAAGGAAATTAATTCCTTACAGGAAAAGGGTTTAATAAGACCCTCAAAGTCCAAATGGTCTTGTGCTGCTTTTTATGTTAATAAATATGCTGAACAGGAACGAGGAGTTCCTAGATTGGTTATTAATTACAAACCTCTTAATAAGGTTTTAAAATGGATTAGATATCCTATTCCTAATAAAAAGGACTTATTAGACATATTACATGATGCTATAATATTTTCAAAATTCGATTTAAAATCAGGTTATTGGCAAATTCAGATATCTGACTGATAAGTATAAAACTGCTTTTAATATCCCAATGGGACAATATGAGTGAAATGATATGCCTTTTGGTTTAGCCAATAATGCTTGCCATCTTGCAAATATTTGTTTTGACACATCATGTTTAAAATCTTTATTAAAGATAAACTTTGCCGTTTGGCAATCAGTTTTTATTAAAAACTTCTGATTATATAAATCAGTTTGGAATTTCATGACACACTTTACTATAGCAAGGATTTCCTTAGCTACAGTAGCATAATTCTTTTGGGAACTATTCTATTTTTCCGAATAAAATTGGACAAGATATTCTTGTTTATCTATTGGGGAGCACTGTTTCAATATTTCTCCATAATTAATATCTCACACATCAGTTTCAACTATCTTTGCCCAACTTGGGTTAGAAAGAGTTAAACAGGGAAGATTATTAACCTTCTGTTTAATTCTTTTGACTGATTCTGTATGATTATCAGTCTATGGCTTAGGATTCTTCTTTAGTCTATCATAAAGAAGAGCAGTATCTTTGGCTATATCCTGTATAAATGGAGAAATATAATTTAAACTTCCTAAGAATCTTTGAAGTTGGGTTTTATCAATAATTATATCAGGAAACTTAGAAGCAAATTCAATACTTCTATTAATGGGAATTATTCTACCATTTTCAATATTATGCCCAAGAAATCTTATATTAATTTGGAAAAGAGACATTTTGGGTTTAGATATTACTAGACCATTTTGAATTATAATCTTTTTAAACAAATCCAGATCTTTAAAATGTATTTGAATATATTTTAAAAATACCAAAATATCATTTATATAGACAATTATAAAGTCTGTATAAGGGATGAAAATATCATTCATAATTTTCTGAAATTTAGACGGGGTATTTTTCAAATCAAAAGGCATAACATTTTACTCATATTGTCCCATTGGGACATTAAAATTAGTTTTATACTTATCAATTTCAGATATTTCAATTTGCCAATAACCCAAGATATTACTAGAGCATTCTGAATTATAATCTTTTTAAACAAATCTAGATGTTTAAAATGTATTTCAATATTTTTTGAAAATACTAAAATATCATCTATATATACAATTATAAAGTCCGTATAAGGGATGAAAATATCATTAATAATTTTATGAAATTCAGAGGGGGAATTTTTCAAACCAATTTTTAAAAAGTTCCCATCTGGATTTTTTAAATTCTTCACAAATCATTTTTCTTGTCGGTGAACCCGGACTCTTCTCAGCACTTGCTAACGTACTTATGAGTTTGATAGGTTTCGGCGTCGGGTGTTGAGTTTGGAAGTTTCAAAGTTCATTAGGCTTGAATTTATGTGCGATTTGTGTTTTGATGTTGTTTGAGGTGATTTGATGGTTCGACTAAGTTCGTATGATATTTTAAGACTTGTTGGTATGTTTGGTTGAGGTCCGGGGGGCCTCGGGTTGATTTCGGATGGTTATCGGACCAAGGGTTGAAGTTGAAGAATTGCTGAAGATTTGCAACTGATGGTGTAATCGCACATGCGGATTGGGAACCACAGGTGCGAGAGCCCGCAGAAGCGGGAAGGGAGCCGCAGAAACGGGCCAGGAAGGAATTGGCAGAGGTAGCAGGTGCGAGGTCCTTTCCGCATCTGCGAGGCCGCAGATGCGGCAAAAAGGGCGCAAAAGCGGAGTGTGAAGGAGTTGAGGGTGTAGGCTGCTTCAGCAGAAGCGGATCATGGGCCGCAGAAGCGCCTCCGCAGGTGCGAGACCTGGAGTGCAGGTGCGAGCCCCGGTGAGTTAAGTGACTTTCGCAGGTGCGGAGTTTTCACCGTAAAAGTGGGACCGCAGAAGCGGATTTTGGGACCGCACGTGCGGTTTGACTAGGCAAAACATATAAACATAAGGGCTCGTGATTTTCTTCATTTTCTAACGTTTTGAGCTCGGATTATGGAGGTTTGTGAGAGGATATTTCAAGGGAATTCTTGAGGTAAGTTCCTTGTGTTCATCTTTCTTCAATAATTGTGTTTCCCCAATGATTTTCCACCTAATTGGTGTGTTTTTGAGGTTTAATTTGGGGGTTTGAGGCTAGGGATTTGGAGAGTTGATTTTAGGGATTTAAATGACCAATTGGTATCAGATTTGGATGAATTTGGTATGACTAGACTCGTGGTTGGATGGGCTTTCGAATTTTGTGAGTTTAGTTAGATTCCGAGACGTGGTCCCAACGGGCGATTTTGAACCAATTTCGGATTTTGAGTTATAACTTAGTAATTTCTTGTAGAATTGATTCCTTTAGCTTGTATTAATTGTATTGTACTATTTGTGGCTAGATTCAGGTCATTTGGAGACTGATTTGTGAGGCAAAGGCGTATTGGATTAGGGATTTGCTCGGATTGAGGTAAGTAACACTTCTAAACTTGGTTCTGAGGGTTCGAAACCCCGAATTAATGTGTTATGTGATTGGTATTGAGGTGACGCACATGCCAAGTGACGGGCATGCACCGTGAGAATTGTGACCTGATCGATTCCATGGCACTGTCTAGTAGTTCTAGCTTGTTGATATCCGTGTTTTCATCATGTGATAAAGTAATTGAGCTGTTACTCATGCTAGATATCATGTTTAGGCTTTATGTCGGTACTGTTGGAACCCATAGTGGTCGTTTCTGCTGTTGTCTTACTGATTTCATTGATATTTCGTACTCAGTCATATTCATTCATTTCATATCATATCTCAGTCTCTGTTGTTATTATCGATATATCATATCATTTTTTTCGGCTAGTATCATGACACTGTGAGCCCGTGAGAGAGAGACTGGAGAGATTGATGACCAAGTGAGGTCGAGGGCCTGATTATGAGTGACATTTATGGGATCGAGCTGCATACTGCAGCGGTTATACTGATTTATGATAGCGCTTGGGCTGAAGGAGCCCCTCCGGAGTCTGCACACACCCCTAGTGAGCGCGGTTGATTATACAACATGTGCATTGGTATGTAGAAGTAGAGGAGTTATATTCTTCATATCATTTAGATTCGATTCATTTTATTGTTTTGAGATATCTATCGAACTTGAAAGCATGTCTACGTTTCTACACTCTCATTTTCTATATTGAACTTT